AGCATTCATGTTTTAATCACCAACCAAAGAATAAGCGCAGGACGGTCAACAGACCAGCCATCAGTCAGTGCTCTGGCGAGTTGCTGCAATACTTGGACATGTCAGAAAAAAACGACGGTGGATCTCAAAAGGTGCAAGTCTGGAGATCCACCACGGCGCTAGACCTTCACAGACGGGGCCTCGAGGTTGGTCCTTGACCTTTTTTTCTTCCATTGTCCTGCAGCTCGAATACTCCACAGTCCCACGTCCCCTACCGCCATTGCATATGTATGCCGTAAAGTGTATCCGTAGGACTTTGACATTGGCCCAGCAGCAAATGGAGACTCCATGGTCCTGAGGGCGTCGAATGGCCCGGTCTGGCTCATCTTTGGTTCGCGGGGTGTATCTTAGCTTTAGCGAGCGCCTGTATCCGTATCTCGACGTGTGGTGTGGGCAGGGCGAGCACATGGCAATATGCGTATCTAAGAATATCAAAGACCGCTTCAGACCAGTCGCCTCTACCGCATACGTAGTATGCCAGGAGACAGGGACTAGCTGAGACTGTCCTACGTGAGGTGGGCGGGTGACTGCCGGAAGAAATGGAGCTGCTCATGCACGACTGCACCAAATGATTCGAGACTGTGACTTTGCGAATAGGTACTTGGACGTTGCCGCGCCTTGCCTTGCTGCCTTGCTGCTGCGAACACCGAACCTCGTCTTGAAATCGGAGCACCTCGAGTTGCATCGGAAAAGAAGCAAGCATCTGAACCTTTCACCGTTGCGGCCAACCAGGAAGACGCCTTCCCCATGCCCAGCGCACGCGTGCGACGAAAGATAGTTTGACTTTATCACGCAAGGCACGTCCCGCTCCCCTCCATTTGCCAGCCTCAAGCAAACTCAAACCGAGGACATGAGATACAGCCAAACCTCACACTTACCTTGCATCTGGGCGCGCGATCCAAGGGGTATTTCGTGGAGGAAAGTTGGCAGGCGTCCAGGGATTCCAGTCCTCGACCGACTGATACATCTGCGATAAGCCAACATGCCGATAAGGAAAGTCGCAGCACGGACCGTTTCGAGGCAGTTGCGCCTACTGCGCCGCACGTGTGCATACGTCTCCACTCTGGAACTTGATTCGACAGCCAGCCACCAACAGTGCCTGAGATGGCAAGTCGATAGATTTGATGTGGCTGAACTTTGATGAACAGTGGCTGGTGTCGGGCCGGTATTCTGCCGCGTCACGGGTTCTCAGCCGTCCACCGTGCAGTCCTGATTGGGCCTCGTCACCGTCACCAAGCTCTAAGGTCCTGGATCCAGGTAGCGCAGACACCCATCCATCGCGGGATCCTCGACACGCATACATCCCTCCCCCTCCGTCGGTCATCAACGTCAATCCCGCATATCGAGAGACCGCAAACACATTCAAAGTCTGCCCAATATGGCCGAAGACTCCGCTCTCGCCCCGAAGTTCGCGCCATTCATCGGAATGGTAAGCTCCAACGCCCCCTCGAAGCAATGCTGGCCTCGCGAAGACCTGGCTAGCTAGCAATGACATTGAAGAAATACCGATTTGCTGACACACCTTGCAACTAGGCCGGCATCGCGGCTGCCATGATCTTCGGATGTATGTTCAACCAATAACCCCCGAGCTGATTCCCTCTTCCCGGCGCGACGAACGAGGACAGCATGCTAAACAGAATCGATATCAACAGGCATCGGCGCCGCATACGGTACCGCGAAGTCAGGTATCGGTATTGCTGGTGTGGGAACGTTCAGACCGGATCTCATCATGAAGGCACGTCGCACCAAAAGCTCGAGCAGAAGCTCCGTCTAACATTGCGCGCAGTGTCTGATCCCCGTTGTCATGTCCGGTATCATTGCCGTCTACTCCCTAGTCATCTCCGTCCTCATCGCCCAGGACCTGTCGCCCCCTGGAACTGGAAGCGAATACAGCTTGTTCAAGTACGTCAGCCGCGCGCATTGCCTGTCGCCGCCATCTAGCTTGTCGTGGAACCTTCCATACTGACCTTAATTAGTGGTTTCATGCATCTGGCCTGCGGTGTCTCTGTCGGCTTCACCGGTCTCGCAGCTGGCTACACGATTGGTATTGTCGGCGACAAGGGCGTCCGCTCGTACATGGAGCAGTCTCGTGTATTCGTCGGCATGGTTCTGATTCTCATTTTCGGCGAAGTTTTGGGTCTCTACGGGTATGTTTACCTACCCCTGATCAACTCTCGTAAACAACCCCAAAGCTAATGGCGACACAGTCTCATTGTCGCTCTGATCCTGAACACCAAGTCCAAGGGCTAAACGCTGACTCCGATTCCACGAAAACGAAATGGCGAAACACGAACGACATTTTAGCCACGCCCTTCGACATCGTAACACCACTGTACATTAAGCGAGGGGAGCGCCGGGACGTTGGTTGAAGATGGAGAGTAACATCAAAAGACGGGTCGCAGGTGGTCGTCTCCGGTCCAAAGCTGCATATGGCACGGCGTTTATCAGGAAACCCCTCATGTAGAATTTATGTATGGCGAGCTGCGTAGAGAGGCTCATGGAGGGGATGGAAGGTATGATAAGGCTCCGAATTCCAGTATCTCTGAATTGTTTTGAACCTCTGTCTTTTGGCAATTACCAATTGCGTCATCTTTTTGTTGGCAGTGATGGTGGTAGTTGGTAGTGGTGATGATGCCAGTGGTGATATCACAGTCGACTTCACAAGTGTTGCGTCTAACACAGCCAAGGCAGGTAGACAATCATAACATCTTCTGTTATGCCAGGCATGCCTTTGAACTCCAGACTCCCTACCTTACCTCTCACATACCATTGCAGTATGCATTAATGTCAGCCGTCAAAAGGTAAATAAAAGAACAAAAAAGTCGAAAAAAGCACCGACGACGGGACTTGCACCCGCAACCTTTGGCTTAGGAGGCCAATAAGCTACTATTGCTCCACGCCGGCGTTGGACCACTAGACCATCTGGTCTTGTCTTTGTTGTTGGAAGCAATCCACGGCAGCGTGCGTCAAGACGGACGGTGGCTGCATGGATGGTGGTGTGGAAGCTGAGGGAAGGAAGGAAGGTGCCTTGTCTTGGGGGTGCTCCTTCCGTTTGTATGAGGCAGGGGTGGGGTGCAAATGGGTACAACAAACACCAGTCCTGGACAGGATCTGGGAGCATGAACCCACGAATGCAAATACAGTATAAACAGGCTGGTGAGGCAGACCAAAGCAAGTTTAAGCATGGGAAATACACCATGCTGCCATGATGTTACATTTGATATCTTGCCTTGAAAATCTTCGCCGCTCAGCAAACCTAGGATCAATATTCTTTCTTGAGGATCTGCCTGCCATATGCAGCTCTCATTGTGCAGGGAAGGTTTTTATTCAAAGACAGGACACAATCTTTTGCCTTTCACCACAACAATGTGCCTTCTATGTTTCCTATCCCCTTTCATGGCCAGACTGAGACTGCTTCCAACAACAGAAAATACTAGCTTTGTATGATGGCGGTTGGTTTGTTCGCACTCGGTAGGCTCATCTGTCTCCCGTCGTCTCTGGTTGTTGAGATTTAGTGAGTATCCCACTTCCAGTGCGCTGGAATCTACTCAAATCTTTGAAAATCTCGATGGTCTTCTGTGGTTTCCTCTCATTCCTCTGCGCGGTGGCGGATACATGACGGACAGCAATGACAGAGGCCATCCTATCAAAAGAATAGTGACGGTTTACTTCCAGGCGCTGAGATGCTTTCTGACCCGAACCATGTACAAACCAATCTAGTGTGTGGCCTTCGCCCTCTCGCGTCATTGCTTCCGGGCTTGAGAGCCAATGCCGTTGATATTCCTGCCTATTTATACACGTCATAAGAAGGGCATGATGAGGACCTACTTCTGGTGCAGAAAGTATCCAGACGGGGATGGACTGCAAGCATCTTCACTACTACAAACATCGTATATATATGGGTATTTTGACGCTAACCTCGAACGACCAACGCCAATACATGGTTTTGTAGTACTGGTTTGTTGAAGTGACAATAACTGGGTGCCAATGGAACACGCATGCTCCTCTCATGACTTACAAACCGCCTAGTGTGTGCTTTTGATCTACTTCCCGTCATCCCTCCGCAGTGATTCTTACGAGGAATACCAGACCGACAATGACGATGTGACACTCTGCCCCCCTCGATCGTTGCTCAAATTGCGATTGCTTGAGAACGACGAGACGGGGCCGCAGACACTGGACCAGCCCATCGGCTTCCGCCAGCCCACACTAACACCACAACCATGGTTCAACATTTGGCTGTTAAAGTTCAAACTGAGCGTTGGAAGCTGCCTTTTTATCTGTTATTCTCACTGGTAGGTCCTTGGAAGATCTTGCAAGTGGCCAGCTACATTTAGCCTCATGTGTCTTTTCAATGACGATGAACGAGGGAAATGGTTTCTGTCCCATGCCAAGATCCCCACGTTTAGAGAACGTCTCCTTGAGGTACGGAGAGCTTCGACCAAAACCAAAATGGCTGCATAGATAGCTAAAATTGACCTTGCCATCTCCGTCGCTATTATCAGCCGTCACTCATACGTGAAGAATACACCCCTAGTGGTCGAGTAAAGTTAACAGGTAAGGCTTCATGAGATCTGGACTCACAGACCGTGATATCTGTTGTGATCTGCTCGCATGCTCGAATTCTTCCAGGTTCCTCAACGGCCAAGCAACATCTGTAATTTCACATCCATACCTGATCTGTTGGTTAAATATGGCCACTGAAAAGGCTATAGGCTTTCAGGGCCCACAGCATGTGCATATTTATCAAGTCAACATGCAACACATGACTTCAATCGACTGAACAATATCAACACTCTTCATGTACAGTTCCTTCGATCGTGTATCATACATACCACCTAGACCACCGACGCCTAAGCAATGCGTCCCAAAATACATGTACAGTGTGTAAAAGTGTCAACCCAACAGACCCCTTATAGTAATCAGTTCTCTTTCTTCTTTTCCATTCCTTCCTTCCTTCCTTATGCCGTCTTCTTCTCAGCGGGAACCTTCTTCTTCAATGAACCAGGCGGCGTCTTGAGCCCGGCAAACACCACCGCCGTCACAACAGCCATGCCCGCGGCACCCATGCTGTAGGCGACCTCACGGCCAGCCCACCAGTACACGCTGGTGAACAGAATCGGTCCAAGACCACGGCCAAGCTGGCCCCAGCTGCGGAGGATACCCAGCTTGCCTCCGCGCTCGCCCTCGGCAGCCTCGAAACTGCTCAGGGTGTTGAGACCAGTGACGACCGTCGATGACGTCACCGCCAGACAAGTAGCCGCCGCGTAAAGACCGCCCGTTGTCGAGATGCGGCCGAGGAGGATGAATGAGACGAGGCAGGCGACGGTGCCCATGCGAACGGAGAGCAGGGGCGGCAGGCGGCGGGTGACACCACCCTGGAGGATCGAGGCGACGAGGCCAACGTAGCCGAGGAGGCGGCCGTTCTTGGCGGATCCGAACGCGAAGAGCTCATACGTCATGAAGGAGAGCGAGGACTCCATGCCGGAGAAGAAGAGTAGGAAGACGAAGTGGACGGCGTTGAGGAGGAAGTGAGAGTTGGTTCGCTGGATGGGCGCGGCAGAGGTTTTGGTCTTCTCGTCCTTCTTGGCGCCCTTGCCGGTCAACGAGGGCAGGGTCTCGGGCAGGCAGAAGTAGAGGTACAGCGTCTCGGTGAGGATGAGGAACAAGCTGAATCCGGCGGCGGTCGCAAAGGGGTTCTCCTTGACGGTGCTGATGCTGCTCAACCATGCGCCCAGACCCGGTCCGAAGGTAAAGGCGATGGAGAAGCATGCGCCGATGAGCGCCATGGTCGATCCGCGGCTCTGCTCGTCGGAGATGTCGGTCGCCATGGCAGTCGCAAGCTGGACGTTGCCCTCAGACAGTCCGCCGACAACACGCGACGCGACAAAGGTGCGGAAATCGACGGCGACGACCCACAGCAGGACGGAGAGAATGTTGCCGCACATGGAGGCCAGGAGAGCGGTACGGCGGCCATGACGGTCGGAGAGGTGGCCAATAAGCGGGGAGGCAATGGCCTGCAGGAGACTGAAGAGGGAGCCGAGGGCGCCGCCGAGGAGGACGATGTCGTAGCGCGAGTCGATGGGGCGGGCAAAGGCGGCCTTGTAGCGGTTGAGGCCGGAGAGAACGCTCTGGAGAAGGGTCGCGGGCTCGGTGGCGTTTGCGGTCGCGGGGCCGGCTTCGCGGTCACGGTAGAACTCGAGGAGCTTCGGGAAGAGCGGGAGGATGAAGGTGAAGGAGATCTGGCGCGGGGTCGTGGTCAGTCTTCAGCAACGACAAAGAGGACCGCAAGTTTCACTTACAAGATCGAGGAGGAGAGAGACGGCAATGACTCTCAGGACGCGTTTGCGCGTCTTGGGCTCGAACGCCCCGGAGGAGGTAGCTGCTGCTACTGCTGCTGCCATTGTTGCGGGCCTGCCCTGACTGTCAAATTTCGTGTGACGTAAGGTGTGGTGGATCGTGAAAAGGAGAACTCTGTGTCGGTTTGGGAGGACGGAAGCTGGAAACACGTGTAAGAAACGAGGGGAAGAAAGGAGGGCAATGGAGGTTGAATTAACACACAAAGAGAAGGGCTATTGTAACATCAAGAAGAGAGGGAGAGGGAGCTTGGGATGGGGAAAACCGAAAACGAGGAAAGACATGGAAAAGTTGAAGAATAAAAAAAAAAAAAGAAGAGGACAACGGCCTTTCATCAATTGTGTGACAGGTGACACCTGCAAGCTGGGAATTGGGGGGGTGAACGTGGAACACTGAGGTCGGAGCTTGGGCGTCGAACTGCAGAAACATGCTCTCAGGGCCGCTGAATTCCCCTTGTCCACGCCCCTCCATTGGAGCCCATTGGAGCCCTTTGGAGCCTCTGGAAGTGGTCGGCCCAGTCCGATGTTTCAGGGTCAGGGGCACTTGGGGATCCACAGTTAAGCCACTGAAGGCTCGCAAAGTGACGCTAACATCGGACGGGCCCCAGACCGAATCCCAGCGCGGCATCATTCGCCAGTCCTGCTGTCTACACTAAGTGTGAGATGCCCAAAGACGCGGGACCGGGCTTTCGGGCGCTGCGCCGAGGCCGGGCGGAGACCTTGCTACTGGACCTCCAGTGACACTCACTCCACTGCAGTGTCAGCTTTTTCGGCAATTTTCCATTGGGTGCTTCCATCCCGTGTCTTGCTTGCTTCTTCGGATGCAAAACGCAGCTCAAAAGGAGTGATTCTTTTTATAGTTTGTCTGTCTGATGCAGTAATACGATATCCCGCCATGCATCATCATCCAACCTGCGCCGCGTTCCTCCTGTCGTCTCACCTCACCACATCAGACGCCCATAAGCAGAGAAAAGGTCACGTCGTGCTCTCAGGTCCATTCTGTCATCACCACGGCCCGGAGCTGGCGACAAAAATGTCCGTATCCGGCCAAGACACGCCTTTGTCCCCCATGACCCCGACCGGCGCCAACCCCAGACTATCGCAACTCTAAAGCCGTTTTTTAATAAAGACCGCCCGGGTCGTTGTGCTCCGCCACGAATGAGAAGCAACCTATTTCATGCAAATCTCCCATCCAGCGGCAATTGCGAGTCTTCTGAGAGGCGGGGCATGCCTTTCGAGCCACGCGAGTTGCCTGCCAAATAAATGAGGCGCCATGTCAAGAACAACGAAACGACAAACGGCTGGTTCTAATATCTGACTGCCTTGTTCCGTCCTTGACGCAACGTCGCCACGCCATGGATAGCTGTTCTAGCTGCCGTCTATCACTTCGCGCCCTTGTCTAGAGGCTTTGCAAGCTTCATGTGGCTCATGTCCAGCGCGTGCCAGTGCGCGAGCACATTCAATCGAAGCAGATGCTCGGGGATCTGAGAAGCTTCGACCTCTTCGATTTGACGGCTGGGGCGCGGAATTCGCTACAACGGATAGAATTCACCTACATATTGTGTGCACCGAGACTATCGACTTTCCGGGTATGGGTGCCGCGTGTCACTGGTTTGACCGTCATTGCTCGGACGCGCGCTGACCTGCAACCTCTGCCATTCTCAGGATTTTATGAGCAGGTTTTCGGTTCGGCATGGACAATTCCGATGACCAGAAATGCTTGTTGAGGTTGCTGGATGAGGAGGCACCCACATGCAATGTGGTGCCTTCGGTAAGTCGACCAGCAAATATTATGAAATACGGGCTCCAAGAGAGACATCAGGTCGATTACTCGTCCAGGGAGCTCGCACGGCTCTCAATGAAACAAATGAAGGCAGTCCTGAAAGGTATGGCACGTTGTTCCCGAGGTTCGAAGGGCTCCTTGATCCCACGAATCGGTATTCAAACAATAACGGGTGGACAATACATTACTTACCAAGTGCAGGAAGGGATCCATACATTGTTGAACAATTGGGCCCAAACGAACAGATGAACAGTCTAATTGGTGATGACGGATGGAATGAAATCCGAAGCAGAGCCTCATCACTCGCTCATCAAAGAAAAACATTACCGATGCATGGGCCATGGCATAATGTTTGCAGACTTTGTCAATCTTGGATCGATTACAAGTCGGTAGTTGATGCCCAATATTTCGAGGGATTCGGGCTGCAACATTTGCTGCCGTAGTTCAAAGTCCCGGAAAAGTTCACGCATAGTTACTTACTCACTGCCTGAGGAGAGCTTCAACAACTTGAATCATTAGATGGGTCGCGAGTTCCATGACATCGTACTTTTCGCAACTCGCAAACGAGATGAACATTTCTAGTCTGCACACCGACGTCAGCCCAGTCTGCAAGCAGTAGAAGAATGAGGCTCAACAGCGCAAGTACTACCAAAAACGAGGCACCGCCCGGCTTCAGTACGTCGTTCTCGGTGAAGTCAAAATTAACTCACATCCCCAAAACCCAATTCCAAGTTTTGCCGCCTCGATGTGGGGATTGGACCCTGAGCGCATGAGATGACGGGCGTGGCGATGAACACTCACCTCGCAACGGACGACACCGACGTAATGCAGGGATACCGGCTGCCTCAACGTGCAGCCGTTGATGTGTCTCAACTCAACCTGGGCGAACAAGATGGACAAGAAAGGGAAAGAAGAAAGATAGAATGCATGGAAGGATCACTGCGGAAGTTTCTTGCAGGAAAACATACATGACGGCATTGAGCAGCTGTGCCGCAGAGATGATCGCGATCATCCCCCCTTTGTGCGTCCCGAAGGCGAGGTTGACCTCAAATCAGGACAAGGAGATCGCCAGTCGCGAAAGTCCTCATTCTAGGCGGAGATCGGCGACTTGAGGCAAGGTCTCTTTTCCAAGAAACAATTCATCTACACATCTTATGGTCCTTTGGAAGGAAAAAAATGTCAGAATATCGCTGCCTGGAAGTGGAATTAGTCCCGGTCGTTTATGGGCCCCGGCCCCGGAGCGCAGCACTCCCTGCGGGGCCGAAGATGTGGTTCATGAACCGTTTAAGGAATCAAGCTTCGAGGCAGACTCAAATGTCCCCTGAAAGATAAGATCGAGGTGGGTTTCTAACGTGTTTACAGACCGCTGGCTCCATCCGGTAGGGCTGATTGAGCACTCCAATTGGCCTGGTTCGTTGGCCACCCCGGCCGCTGCACCGCCAAAGAGAAAACACCGCCCTTGCGACAGGCAGCGCGAGTGCGCGGTACTTTGGTTTGGTTCTTCGACTTTTTGAGCATCGCGTGTCTTGGCACTGCATTATCACGGAATCTGACGAATGAGGTGACTTGCCAAGCCCTGACCGAATCCGTCAGCTCAGCCCACGAGCAACACCAACCCACTCATATCCACGAGGAAGTCCCGATTCCTCGACCAACCCGATGAAGAAGTTTGTCTTCCTTGCGCCTCTCGTGCTAGGCTTCAACTATCTGCCATGGCCCAATTTTCCAAGTCCACGAAGGGGAAAACATTGAGGTCAAGTTGCATAGATTGGGTCGGGAGCAGGATCCTAGGCCGGAGCTCCGCCAAGAGTAAGGTACAGGGCTGATCAATCGCATGTCAGACTACCCTTTGCCAATCCTCCTTGGGATGTATGGTAAGATGTCGTCGTTTGCGTGTTGTTCTAAGCTAGTGTGCTTGAGAGCCTATTAAAGACCTTGGCACCCTCCGCCCCGGGTCAGCAAGCAAGCAGGCTATCTACCGTCCCCTCACTCCGTCATCTTCTGCAGGCTCTGTGTAACCATCAGCCTGATTTATCACGACCCAATTCCCCTCAATACACCACATTCTCCCGACTGACACTGCGGACGACAACAACAAAAAGAATAATGCCTTTCATACTTGATACCCGCATACCAAAAGGCGGCGGTAGCAGCGGAGGAAGAGGCAGCTCCGGCAAATCGTCCTCTAGCAAGTCAAAATCAAAATCCTCAAAGAGCAAATACAAGAGCAAAGGCGGCTACGCAGCCGGCGGCGGAGCGGGCGGTGGAAGCGGCGGCAACAATGGCTTCGCGCAGCTTCCCGTCTGGGCGCGCGTGCTCATCATTCTCGCCATCATCTGGTTCATCCTCTTCCTGATCGCGTTCACATACTACTTGATGAAAGGTCTGTCTATTTGCCCAACATCATCTGAGGCTTCTCACAGACATCCCAGCTAACACAACGCAGAACTCAAACGCAAAAAGGAAGGCAAATCATTCCGCCTGGGCCACGTCTTCGGCCACGCCCTTCTCGTCTCGACAGGCCTCTGGATCCCCGTCTTCCTCTACAAGAAGTTCATCGGCAGCAAGAAGGAAAAGAGCGGCACCTACGCCAAGATTGAAGAGGGCCACGGCAAAGAAGGCAATAACCACGATTCCTGGTACGGCGGCGCCGCGGGAGTCGAGAACAAGTACGACCCCGTGAGCGGCCCGCCTCCTTACCGCCCGCAGAGTCCGAACCCAGCTCCGGCACCGGCACCGGTTCCGGCGCAGACCGGGGCCGCTGCGGATTACTACATGCCGCAGCCGCCTTCACATACCGCTCCCACGCAGCATCCTCCCCAGTATGGTTAATTTCCAGGTCCTGAAGATGCGATGAGGTGCCGCTTCCAGCCCGATGAACGATTTATGTTTTGCTTTCCTTCTCTTCACCAGTGCGATACCCCGTTTGTCCAGAAAAGCGTTCTTGTGTATATTTTAATGGCTGTCACTTCAGGTCCGAGAGTATTGTGTATAGACGGAAATTGGAGTTTTGTATCATACTCATTGAATCTCATGAGGCCGTTCCTTGCGGAGGCTGAAATCTAACAATCACTGTTGTTCTTGCGAACACTGTCTACTGCTTTTGGTCTATCTCCACCCGATTCTAAGAAATTGATTGCCTCCAGGGCTAGTTCGCACCATATTCGTGGAAGTATTGTTTTCCCGCAACCCTCTGATGGTTTCTGCAGTTGAACCTGATGCTCGACGCGTCCCTGATGGGGCGTTTGCTCGCGAGTAGCGGCCATCAGGAGTTGTCTTGTGCTGGTGCTATTTCCAAGCACTGCCACACAACTGTTTAAAGAGTCAGTATGAACGTAGATTTGAAACAAGGAGACGCAACTTACCCGACTTTCCTTCTTTGCCATTCCTCGAGTTTTGATACAATCCAACACGAAACTCTTGATCTCTGCCACCTCATGTCAGAATCCCCTGAACGCAAGCGTTGGTAGCAGTAGCCAGGAGACTTACCATAGCGCGACCCGGTATGTTCTATTCAAAATATATCCTTCTGGCGGATTTCCCGCAATTCTTGGCACCCTCATCTCATGGGCGGCGGTTTAGGACTCCCCTGCCAGTTCTGTCCCGAAACCGATCCCGAGGCCTTTTCTCCGCTCTTCCCGGCCTTCGGATCCTTCGTCGGCTTCTCCATCACAGAAGCGGACCCTGCTTTCGTGCCCGCGGCCTTTTTACCGCCGCTGGCATTTCGGGGAGCTTGGAGCCGGTCGAGATACAGCCCCGTCGTGTCGTAGCCGGTTCGTCCCATTTTTCAGGAGGTGCGCCGCTCCGCGCAACGTCGTATGCGTGGCGGCCCGTGTCTTATTCGTCGATAAAGAGAACTTTTCTTAGATTTAGAGTTCGAAATAGAGGTTCCTGGTATGAAATCGTAGCCAAGTTGGAAGTGGTCGTCAGCGTTGAGGTGGTAAAGATGGGACCGTCGATCTGGAGTTTCTGTGCGTATAAATCTTGTTGGTTTTGCCGGCTTCTCTTCTCAATGACATGATATGTTCCGAGTGCTGTTGAGTCCTTGCTACCCCTTGTGACGCGGATGTAAGTGCGGTCGTGAGTATGTTTCCTTCCCGAGCCGAAAAAAGGTGAAGAAGAGGCTTCTTTCTCTTTGCGTCGCAAATAATGGGACGTTTGTCTTTGCTTTATACCAGAGTCATCCATACTTGTTGTTTTTTGTATGCGCTGGCGTTTCTTCACCCAAAAGAGCCCAAGATTGCGAAATTTGCTTTCCCTGGCATTTGTGTTTGTCTTTTCGTCTTTTCTTTTGACTCACCTTTGTTCCAGGGAGGGAATCTTTGTGTACCCTTTGCCTTACCATTGAACAATTGACACCCCCTCTGGTTCACCCCTTCCCCCCAAAAAGGGCTTCGTCAAAAGGGATGAGGGGTTCGGTTTTCCTGGATCCTGGGCTGCCAGACTTTTGCTTTTTCTCAGTCATCTCCTTCCCCCGGGAAAGATAATATGATGTCTCTGTGCGACCATTCCTCAGGGTGAGACATTGGCTAACGAGCGAGCGAGCCGGCCGGTCATATTTTGTTTTGTTGGGGCGAAGGGAGAGGGGGCACAAGCAGTCTTGTCTCTGCGCAGGGCCTGGGTTTTGCGGCTCCGCCCATTGTCTCCTTTGGAATTGCCGTTCCTTCCCAGACAATAGCATCTTTTCCTGAACGTGAGACCCAGGAAATCCAAATCTCCCCGAGATTGCGGAGACCGAGGCAGCTGTCAGGCCAGGTGGCTGGGACCTGGGCTCGGCGGCTGCATTACGTCGATGCTTTGGAAATCGCAGAAGACCATGGCCAACTCCCGCTCCAGACCACCCCCTCGTTCTGCGATGCCGGTGAGGGAGGTCCCCGAGGATTTCGGTGAAATGACCGTTCATCTCGGTCATATACCCAAAGGGCGACGACCCTTCATGGAACGAACGGGGCTCCTGGGCTGTGCCTGGTCAGAAGGGATGCACGATATTTGTTGTCTTGTTCCGTCATGTCAGGGAGCTCTTACGGAATCCTGTTCCCTTTGGCCTCGAGATTGCAATCAGCCGCCGAGGAGGGCCCTCCGTTTTCTGGCCCCTCCCGACATGATGGGTTGGGTGCTGGTGATCTTCGCATCTTATCGCGATCGCGATCCAGGGAAGGTTTAATGCTTGGTGTCTCAGGAGACGAGACCCAGTCTGGGCCAGGGAGTGGAGTGATCCATTTGTGGCGTCGGCATAGGCAGCCTGGCCGTGCCTGAACACAGCTGAGCAGGGCACAACTTCCGCGTCGTCCGTAAGCATGGAAATTTCTGGGCCAAGGGGGTGCAGGTAGCAGACATGTCTGTCGTGATGTCGTCCATGGATGTTACTGGAACAAAAGGTGGTGAAGCATCTGTATGACTTCTTCTGCCAAGAACAAACGCAAGCAACGTTGCTGAATCGAACTTGACGACCTAGACCACCCGCCCAACCGTTTCTCAAAACTGACTCATCGATAAGTTCGTAGATTCATACTTAAATTTAGATATGCAAGCAGATTCGCACTGAGGTATCATCAGCCGTACAGACAACCCTCGTTTCCGAGCTAAATATCCTAAGACTCCTTCCTCCCAATGGGCCATTAGACCGTAGTACATATAAAAGGCCGCCGAACTCCTAAAATCTGAGCAAATCGAACATCATTAGCATCTTTCCCCATCTTTGACACATGTTCCCATTCTTCGTATCTTTACTCCTCTCAAGGCCAGGTGCTGGACCCAATCTTCTCACTGCCTGAGACGTGTGTTTTGATGGCATCGCCTCTCCAGTCCATTGTCTCGAAGACCTGAACGTTGCCCCACCACTGAGGCGGCCTCGCAGATGTTAGGTACAGCGTGAAGAAGATGATCAGCGTTGCCACGATAAGGCCACAGTCTAAGGCTGCCGAAGTGATGTAGTTGTACTGAAGCCACCAGCCCGTGTATCTGCGCTTGATGAAGAAGTTGAAGATTGTGCCGACGGTGGCCCAGCAGAGGTAGATGTAGACACTGGCGGGCGGCAACCAACCAGAGCCACCGTACAGAAGGGGCGTGTTGACGTAGCGCCAAATGCTCTTGGGCCACTTGCGGGCAAGGAACCAGGTGATGACAGGGGTGATGGCGCCGACGAGCCAAAACCACTGGAGGGACGAGTAAAGAGCATTGCCGGAGAAGATTCGAGCAGGTCCAATGGCACCCCAGATAATCGAAGCCGTAAAGAAGACGCGACCACCGGGGCAGGTGTAGTTGCTGGGCTGGTCGGGCTGGCAAACATCGGGAATGGCGCCTAGGGCCCAGTTCATTACAGCGATCTGGACCACAGCAGACCACAGCGAGGCGATGAGCTGAGACGCAAACATGGTGCGAGGAGGCACCTTCATGTAGTGGCCGAGCTTGAGATCCTGCGCAAAGTAAAGCGCCTGCGACATGCAAATGTAGCCGTAGTTCTTGAACATCATCATGGCGAGAGGGCGGCCGGGCACCATGTAACCAATGATGAATTCGGTAAGAACATTAAGACCAAGCTGGATGTTCGTGATGGCCTGCACAATACCGATGGGGATAAGCCAGAAAACGGGGATTAGAATGCAGACAACGTATGCCCAAGCAGGGAAGCCTGTGGGCCAGCCTGCGACGACGCCGAATGACATGGCGACCATGACAACGAAGAGAGCTATGTGTGTAAGCTTAGATCCAAAGAATTTGTATTGAGGCGTTGCTTACCAAGGTACCACCAGTCCTCAGCGTCGCGATACTTCTTCATCAAGCGCATGTGCACGTCATCCTCCTGGTGACGGGCCAACTTGAACTGACTCCAGATCTCTGTGCCGTGGTAAAGCACAACGTGAACAACGACTGCAGCTACGGCAGCGAAGGACAAGGCGTACGCGAGAGCGAATTGGGTAGGCAGGTAGAGCGGCGAGTAAGCGTTGTATGCAGTCTCGTTGAACTGGAAGTTGGCGTCGAGAATTCGAGACACATTGTAGACGGCACCTGTGTTGTCGAAGGACTCGGAGCTCTGGACCGGGAAGTAGTCGGCGTACCATGTGCCAGAAAAGTGAATGCCGGAGGAAATGATGACGAAAAAGATGATGATACCGGCAATGACGTTGGCAATGGCGTGGAATGGCGGAATCAGAGGCGAGGTCAAGTAGCCTGAGATGACCGTCCAATCGAAGGAGATGGGCATCAGACCATAGCCCGACAAACCACCAAAAACCTTGTTGACAATCACATTCTCGGGCGCAATCCAGCAAATCCACGTAAAGTACGAGAGACCCTGGAAGATCCAACCGGGGAACCAGTACCAGATGAAAGCACCGCTACCAACAATGAGGAACCAGCGGTAGCGGCCGATCTTCCAACCATTTGTCTTTGAGGGGTCGGATCCAGAGTGATCGTGAAGCGTGTAGAACAGCGCGCAGTTGACCAAGTTTGAGGGCCAAATCATGGCCGCAGGCCAAACAAGGAAGCGTCGGGCCAAGCCAGCGAGGCCATAACCAGTGCAGAGTGTGGTGACGCCAAAAAGCAGCTGGAAGGCCCAACCAAAGTGCTGCTTGTAGAAGAGTTGCTGGGCAAGCAGGACATCCGTCGCGTACAAGACACCGCCTCCATACGCAGCCTGTGCGATTGTATTAGTACTGTCTTGAAATGTGTAGCCGTATCACTCAGAGCTTGGCTGTCGTCACATCGGGGATTTCCTGAGAAGCCCTCTCAGGTTTGGTGATTTGCACTTACATTAGACATGGCAACAATGATGACGTGCTCCTTGTAGTTGAACTTTCCAGGCCTGAGGTTGAACTTGATGCCGAAGACATTTTGTTCCTTATCGGGCATAACCAAATCCCAGCCCTTGCCGATGGGGTACGCAATAAGCTGGACGACGTAGGTCGTGATTGTGACGCTGGGGTTTCGAAGCGAAAACAGCATGTTGACACCGGAGCCGACAGTGCAGAGCAACAAGCCAATGACCCAGGCGCGGATCGTGTTGGCAGGCAAATCGACATCATAATTCCTTACCACTGCGCGGACCTGTGTCGCATCAAGTCAGCGATTTGAACGGTTTCTTTACTCGCCGCTAGCCTCCTTCTGCGCCCTTTCGTCCCATCTTTTGCGCGTAGAGACATTCTACTCACGTACCTCGGGATAGGGCGAGTTGTCCTCCATAAGAGCCTGTTCGATCTCGAGTCCCTTCTCGGCGTTTCCCGTGGCGAGTGCTGTATCGACATCGTTGAGCTCGTCAATTGGCATATTCGGGTCGAGCTTGTGCGCCTTCTCGAACTGAGCCAGAGCCTTCAAAGGCTCAATACCGGTGGCCTCGGCATCGTCTTCCAGGGCGGGGTACGGCGTGATCTCCTCGGGCTCGCCGCGCTTGCGAAAAAAGGACGGCATCGTGATCGTTGGGCGAGGGCGTCGTGTCCCTCTCTCCTTCGCTCTACTTTCTACAGAGTAGAATGAAAGACGAGAGAATGCAACGCCGATTGCGGATGGGCTGAAGGGCGACGACGGTCGAGATAAGCAGCGGACGAAAAGAAGGCCCCAAGGCCACAACGGGACTGGGGGACTGCGGGCGCCAAGGGCTTTTTTCAATTAATCAAGCGAGAGGATGGCGGCGACGGTGGTGCCGGTCGGCAGTCTGCAGGCTAAGATGCGTGATGTGACAAGGACTGAGCCAGCCAACAAGCCAGTCAAAATCCCACTTTCCGCAGATCACCACGAGAGAGCGCGATCCTCTGGCTTGTGGTATCTGGGGGAGGTGTCGGTCTGGTGGTTCCTGAAGGGTCTGCTGCTGGGAGAAGAGTGCGCTTCACGGCCGAATGGAGGAGCCGTGGAGACAATAGCACGGCACAACCAACAGCAGCGGGAGAGGGTGAGGCGATTCTTTTTCCTCCCGGCCACCCTCTATCTATCTCCCCATATCAGCGTGGGTGTGACTGCGGGCTCCTCTTTGGGTACTTCGGGCGACGCGTTGGATGGGGGGCCGGCCAAAGGAACCAGAGAGAATTCGGCGCTCTAGCGTGCTATCACGACACAAAAGCAGCCCCGACAGCCCGCAGCTCCAGCGGCCGTTTATTGACCTTCCTCTTTTGGGGTAGCGACAGCCGAGGGGCTGTGGAGGAGGCGAGGGGAAAGAAGAATGGTTCGCCGGGGGTTCGATGGTGACATTGGTTGACAAGACAGGCAGCAGGCTGGTCCACTCCCCTCTCTAGCGACCTCGAGCAGCCGTACGACCCCCGGAACGCGCTGAAGGCCGTCTCTGTCGATGGACGCCTCGGTGGCTCGCTACTCATTTTGGCGGGCTAGAAGGGGTCCTTTTGGCACTCTTTGTCGAAGAAACATGGGGATCAGCCGATCACAAAGCCGCCGCCATTGCCCCTGTCACCGATCCGGGAGTCGCTGGGACTGATCATCCGAAGTATCGATTGTTGAAAAGGACGGCCAGATTGGCGAATTAACTGCAAACAATCTGAAGTGTCCGCAGCTCTTGGTGTCATCGCTTCGAGCCGGCCCAGCCCGACTGACAGCGTACGAGCTCTCACTTCCCAAGCAAAAGTCTCAGGGAACCGGGCTTGAATGCTCTGATGGGGGCTGCCATTGCTGCCATCGGTCTCTGGCCAGTGGAATTACGCAGTGTGCCACTGCTACCCGTCCATCGGCCCAGGCTCTAGGCATTGCGCGAGACTTGGCGAGTCACTGAAATGGACCTTCTGTCGAATCGTGCCGCGTCGGCGAATCACCAGCCATTGCATTCAGCTTGTGAAAGCCGGGCGACCTGGGTATTCCTGGCTTATCTCACAAATCGAATGAAAGGACCTGAATGGCGAATGGGAGACCCTACCTAGTGAAAGCTGACAATCTTATTTCCGATGAAGCGGTTTTCCCCCGCGGCCAGTCCCTTCCCTAGCAAGACTAGCGTTCGGACGCTTGGACATCGGGACATCTCGGCCCGCAGCCCATTCTTTCCAGCATTGTTTGCTCACCTCGGTGAGGTGAAAGCACAGACCTTAGACCGAATTGCTGACATAATGCAGCAACTCGTATTGAATTCTTCTCCACTGATGAGAATTCAAGTTTGAAGAGTCGGTTGAGTGTCAAGAGGAACTGAATACTTATAATTATCACAATGCTGCAGGTGAGTTTCTGTTAGGCTTTCTAGAAGCATGCAGCATGACTGACCATATGTTAGGCACGAAAACAATCAAGGCAAAGAAGGGACTACCTTCACCGCCGGGCTCTCACTCTTCAAGAGAGTGCAGTAGCTGACAGGCGAGCTCGCCTCAGGGAGTCGTTGGCGACCGGCAAGCCACTCCCAGTCGACATTGCCAATGATGTCCGGCTTCGCAAGGACTTCTCATACGACGAATCAGCCGAGGCCTTGCAGTCCCTCGACGACGAGTATGAAACTCTGTCCGGTCTTCAGGACCCGCGAGTTCTCATCACCACCTCCCGATCTCCTTCAAGCAGGCTTCAAGGCTTTTCCAAAGACCTCCGTCTGCTGATGCCAACGGCCACGGTCATCAACCGCGGCACTATGACTTTGCAGGACCTCGTCCGCGTCGCTAATGCCACTGGCCTTACTGACATCGTCCATGTTCACGAACACCGCGGCACCCCGTCGGCTTTGACGATATCTCATCTTCCTCACGGTCCGACCATCAGCTTCAGCCTTCACAACGTCAAGACCCGCCAGGACTTGCCAAATGCGCTGCGCGGCAACATCTCAGAAAGCTATCCTCGTATGTTATCCCTCGAGGCTGCTCTCCGTCGTTGTACTGACCTACCCCACAGATCTCATCTTTGATGGTTTCTCCACCGGACTCGGCAAGCGTGTGCAGCGAGTCCTTCAGCACTTGTTCCCTCCAAGACATTCTTCCATGAGAGCAGGCAACCGAACAGTCACATTTAAGCGTCTGGAGGACGACAGCATCGAGGTGCGCCATCATTTGTATGTACGAACTGGATACGACCAGCTGGAGTTGTCTGAGGTTGGTCCCCGTGTGACCATGCGGGCATTCTCCATCAGGAATTGCACGTTGGAAGAACGGGAGGGCGATGTGGAGTGGCAGATGAACCACTACACGAGAACGGCGAGAAAGAAGACGGTGCTTTAGACTTGCGACCGCTGTGGGCGATGAAGAAGCTGGAGGCTGCTGTTAGCATCAAAGAATGGAATTTGGATACCCCAGAGAATGAGGCGAGTTTGGCCCCATTTAGATGTTTCTACCCTGCCCTGCTGTGGTCAGCGTCATCTATGCCGTCGTGTCACAAATTTGACTGTCCCAATCGGCGTTGCTGACCAGCAGCCTGTGTGTATGATCGAAAACTTTGTTATCCCAGAATATGCTCTTGAACAGAGAACCTAAGTCCTGTGCCAAATTTCTCAATACATTGAAGCTCATGTATCCAGGAATAACTCGTAGTCAGATGATGCATCGACGTCGACAAGAGGTGTTGGTTTCTGCCGGTGCTACTGCGCAACTGCAGCGCCAAGCCGGGACGGGACCCACCTGCCAGTGGGTGGGCGGATCGGCGAGGCCCCTCAGGGAATTCACACTCACAGGCGCCGAATGCAGGCCGCAGCTTCAGGTACCTTAAGCTTTCAGCTCCAAATGCCGTCACTCCTCATCGTGGATGGCTGGCCAAACCATCTGAGCATTGTTAGCTCTCCTCCTTTCAGGCTTCCTCCAGACTGCGTCCAGTCAATGCTTCGGATGAAAACCACAGTTATCAAAACCAAGCTCCAACATCCGTTTCTAACTTGACACACAATTACACTGCAGCAGCAGCCAGTGACAAGAGCACCGCAACGTCAGCAGGCGCCCGAACACCAGCTCCACCGGCAAAGTCGGCACCCTGCACCGCCCAAGCTCCACGCAGCAGCACAAGCTTCCATCATAACTGCCCCTGGCCTTGGCAGGAACCTGGAAGTCTGCGACTAAGAGTTCATCGCGATCTCTCCGCTCGCTCGGCCCGCGGGTACGTTACGAGCTAGAGCTAGTCTTTTGGGGCTGAAAGACATCTTTCTCAATGCATTACCAAACTTGCGACGATTCTGGGCCAAGGGGAGACCTCCGCGCTCCGCCCGGCCTGTGATATGTCGTCATTCATTCCTCATCATCCGGCCTGGCAAGCCGCGCACTTGTGTGTTTCCACGCCCAGCTGTCTGGAGGTGAGCTATGGAGCTTTGATCTGGTATTTAAGCCTCAGGGGACGGTGATCCCCCATTCTTGGCACACTTTGTCTGGACATCAATCCATCTCATTTTGACTTCGAAGTGAGATCTTACTGTGAAATCGACTCGTGATACCCATTGAAGAGCTTCTACCATACAACCGCCATCATGCCTCTCGCAAGCCATGTGAGTATCCTGCGTGAAGACATCGCAAGCACCTCCAACTGACAATTCTAGGTCAACCCGGAGGAGATCGTCCAAAGACTCCAAGCAACTCACATCACCCCTCCCGGGCACGCGAACATGCGCAGCCATGCCACCTCTGCCCATATCCACCCTTTCGACTCTCGCTACACGTCCCAGATGAACATTCCCAAGTACAAGATACCAGAAGAAGGAGCTCCAGGAGATACCGTCTTTCAGATGATCAGGGACGAGCTTGACCTTGACGGCAAGCCGAATCTCAATCTTGCCAGGTAAGTCAGTGGCCCGGTATACAACATCAAAGGCCCACTAACATGGTTCAGCTTCGTGGGCACCTTCATGGAACCTAACGCAACGCAATTGATGCAAGAGAACCTCGCCAAGAACCTTTCCGACGCCGACGAATATCCTGCCATGATGGACATGCACCAGCGCTGCATCTCCATTATCTCCCACCTCTGGGGCGTACAACCCGGCGAGAAGGCCCTCGGGTCAGCCACCACAGGCTCCTCCGAGGCCATCCACCTCGGCGGTCTCGCCATGAAGCGCAGATGGCAGCAGCGCAGGAAGGAGCAGGGAAAGGACGCATCCAAGCCCAACATCCTCATGGGCGCCAACGCGCAGGTCGCCCTCGAGAAGTTTGCGCGCTACTTTGACGTCGAGGCCCGCATTCTGCCCGTGAGCAAGAAGAGCCACTACTGCCTTGACGCGGACCTGGTGAGGGAGAACATTGACGAGAACACCATCGGCGTGTTCGTCATTCTAGGCAGCACATACACCGGCCACTACGAGCCCGTCGAGGAGATTTCCAAGATTCTTGACAAGTACCAGGAGGAGACAGGCATCGACATCCCCATCCATGTTGACGCTGCGTCTGGCGGCTTCATCGCCCCATTCACCCACGCCGGGGCTGGTGGGGGCGCAAAGTGGAACTTCGAACTTCCCCGCGTGAAGTCGATCAACACCTCCGGTCACAAGTTCGGCCTCGTGTACGCCGGTCTCGGCTGGATCATCTGGCGCGACGAGTCGTACCTCCCGGAAGACCTCGTCTTCGAGCTGCACTACCTTGGCGGCACCGAAAAGTCCTTCACCCTCAACTTCTCCCGTCCTGGTGCGCAGGTCATCGTGCAGTACTACAACCTCATCCACCTCGGCTTCGAGGGTTACCGCTGCATTATGGAGAACTGCCTCTCCAACTCGCGCCTGCTCGCTGACAGCCTCGAGGCGACAGGGTGGTACACCGTTGTCTCTGACATTCACCGCCCAGCGCCAGGGAAGGCCACGAAGGGTGCCGTAAAGTCGGCTGTCAACCAGGCTTCTGCTGCCGTTGGTGGCGGAGAGATTGCACCCGAAGAGACATCGGCTGACTACGTTGCGGGTTTGCCTGTGGTCTCGTTCCGCTTGACAGATGAGTTCAAGAAGGATTACCCGCGTATCAAGCAGGAGACGATATCGCTTATGCTCCGCGCCAGGGGCTGGATCATTCCCAACTACCCACTACCGCCTAACGAGGAAAAGATTGAGATTCTGCGAGTGGTCGTGCGCGAGAGCATGACGTTTGACTTGCTTGAGCGTTTGCTGACGGATATCTCTGCCGTCACGGAGACATTGATGGAGAATGACGAGATTGACCTGCAGGTCTTGAAGAAGCACCACGGACGCAGGAAGGTGCGTGTCAAGAGTGATGAGGAACATGAAAAGAAGCACGGAGTCAAGCAAGAAGTCAAGAACATGAAGGATGGTATTCACCGCGCGGTTTGCTAAATGCCCGCCGAACAGCGTAATAGCTTCTGGTCACTACATAGGCCACTTCAGCTTACAGAGAACCCAAAAAGCATGACTTAATGATCCAAAAACATACCACTCACTCAGTGGCATCCAAAATTTGATGCACAACTATGATTCGGCTCTCTGCCGGGGGTATCTTAACGTTGCACGTGGCGAAGCTTAGAATTCTGATGCTTCTTTGCCACAGTGTCTCTGTGACTGATGCATTGGGTGATTGGCGCGAAAGCGACCTGTGATTGCGGTTCTTCCATCTTGGAAGCCGAAAGCGTGCTTGAGTTTGTCTCCATCATTCATGTCGACTCTGTCCAAGAGCATTGTGCAGCATGAGCGTAGACTCGCTCGCCAGCCAAGGCTCCATCGTCACGGGCCTGTCTGCTTGCTGCCCATGGCATGTCGTACTTTGCGGCGAAGTGCCGCCATAACTTGAAGACCGTCGGGGGTGAAGTACCTCTCAATCAGCTGCTGCCTGCTCATCCGATACCGCAGTCTCTGACTCCTTCATTTCCACGTCATTGAGACTCTCCTCCACTGTCACTTCCTTGGGCTCCCGGAAAGGCCGCCTTTTTTGTCGTGGAGCGTTCACAGGGTAGCGCTTGGCATGGCCGCAGGACTTGCATCTGGTGACCATGACATCCGCCCAAGGCTTCTTGCCGCCCTTGCTTGGGTTCTCGACTGTAGTTACGCAAGTCTTTCCTTCCACCAGGAGGGCGTCGCAGTACTTGCACATCATCTGCTTTAGTGCTGAGCTGGGCCGTATTTGGGCCTTCAGAGAGACGGCTCGAATGTCGGAGATGAAGCGTCGAGCAAGCGTCTCGTTTGTGGTGGCATGTTTTTCCTGGCTAGGCTGAGCGTCATCGTGGAATTTCGCCGCGGTTGGCTTTGAGTTGGAGGTTGTTGGCTGCACCGTTGCTAAATAGCAGGCGGCTTGATGCAGGTACGACACCCGAGTGTATTGGGGCCGGTTTGACAAGCTCTCGCTTTTTGCCTTTGCCATTTTCGTCTCCCTGCGGCTTGTCAAGCGTTTCAAACAGTGAAAGGCATTGAGCGTAGTGTTGTGAGCAGAGTCAGTCTTGTCCAGGTCACCTTCACCATGAAAGTGGAAAAAAACACTGCAGGGGTCGCATGGATGGTGTGGGTGGCCTTGAGTGTCTCCAGCAGATGGAGAGGTTCTAGGCTGCAGGGCGCAAGCTGCCCAGGTTCAGGTCAGCTCTAGACAACAAGCTGGGCCCCCAGCGTAAAGGTTAACGATACTGTGCTTGAGGCTGCATTTGCACTGTCCTTATAAGCGGGTCCTGGTCACATGATGTCGCTGAACTCAGCCTCTCACACGCGAAAGCTTTTGACCTTGGGGCGCCCGCCTTACCTTCGTGTCTTCCAAGTTCCTGGTCCTTCCACATCAACCACGGCGCCTGCCAACTCGCCATCCAACCTTACTTCCTCCCCAATTGCCATCTGAATTAAATTCTCTCACCCTCCGTGTTTTAAAGACCCGGCTAGCGTTTTCTTTCCACGAGCCGAACGACACCTTCCGACTTTTTCTCTTTTTTTCATTCAGCAAAGCTAGGAGCTACCGCGCTGCTAGCCCGTCATCCTCTCCTGATCAACCCAAGAAGCTTGCATCGTCAGCCTCGGGTTCTTTCCTTCGCCACAGCCTTCTCGGCCGTTATTTCAATAATCTCCAGCAACGTCACCACCAGTAATCGACAACATGTCTGCTGAGGAGGATCTCATCGACTACTCCGACGAGGAGCTTCAGACCAACGAGACCGCGGCCGCCTCGAACGGAAAGAAGGCCGATGCTGCCGCCGCCGGTAACAACGTCGACAAGAAGGGCAGCTATGTCGGCATTCACTCGACCGGTTTCCGCGACTTCCTCTTGAAGCCCGAGCTTCTGCGCGCTATTGGCGATTGCGGTTTCGAGCATCCTTCGGAGGGTCAGTCCTGAGTTTATATACCCTAACCCATCATCATCCCCTCCCCTGTCAGCAAGCGTCCGTCCATCTCGCAAGCCCAAAAAGCCATCGAAATCGCCATCGAGGAAGTACCGAATCAAAAAGCGGGAGTCAGCTGGATATCCATCTTTGTACGGGCATTGCTCGACAATCCACCGGTAACAGGTGGATGATACTGCGGTCTTGAGAGAGGGGAAAGCGTGACAGCACCCCTCCCACCGCGCGAACACTACGGTGTTCTCGAGTACTCTACAGTCGCAATGGCACTGCGAGAGCTTCGCCTCTCGAGTGCCCGACTACTTCTGTGCCACGGTCGCGTGTCGCAATGGTCGCTTTCGCGCCGCAAGCACCGCGATCGTGCCATGCCCTGCCATCTTCACTTGTGACTGATGAGCGTTTCTTGTTCGTGGAGGAGAGTGGAAACATTCGACTCAACATGGCTTCTTTTGCGCAGATGGACGGGCACTTTGCACGCCCTCTACGTCACTTCTGCTCTTGGAACAAATATCTAACATCGGCGCGACCCAACAGTCCAGCAAACCTGTATCCCTCAGGCGCTTCTCGGTGGAGACATCATCTGCCAGGCCAAGTCCGGTCTGGGAAAGACTGCCGTCTTCGTTCTCACCACCCTGCAACAAGTTGAGCCGGTCCAGGGCGAGGTTTCCGTCTTGGTTATGTGCCACACTCGTGAGCTCGCTTTCCAGATTCGCAACGAGTACAACCGTTTCAGCAAGTACATGCCGGACATTAAGACTGGTGTCTTCTACGGTGGAACCCCCATCCAGAAGGATGTCGAGACGATCAAGAACAAGGAGACCTGCCCTCACATCATTGTCGGCACTCCCGGCCGACTTAACGCGTTGGTCCGTGACAAGGTTCTCCGCCTGGGCAGCGTCCGCATCTTCGTCCTTGACGAGTGCGACAAGATGCTCGATCAGATCGGTGAGTCAATGTTCGCTCCCGCCGGCGAAGCTTCATAATAACAAGGATCAGACATGCGCCGTGACGTCCAGGAGATCTTCCGCGCCACCCCCACCCAGAAGCAGGTTATGATGTTCTCGGCCACCCTGTCCGACGACATCAAGCCCATCTGCAGGAAGTTCATGCAGAACCCTACCGAGCACTACGTCGACGAGGACACCAAGCTCACCCTGCACGGTCTCCAGCAGTACTACATCAAGCTCGAGGAGCGTGAGAAGAACCGCAAGCTCAACGAGCTTCTGGATGAGCTCCAGTTCAACCAGGTCATCATTTTCGTCAAGAGCACTCTGCGTGCGACCGAGCTAGACAAGTTGCTGAGAGAGTGCAACTTCCCCTCCATCGCCGTCCACTCCGGCGTCAGCCAGGAGGAGCGTATCCGCCGCTACAAGGAGTTCAAGGAGTTCAACAAGCGTATCTGCGTCGCCACCGACGTCTTCGGCAGAGGTATCGATATTGAGCGTATCAACCTGGCCATCAACTACGATCTGCCTGCCGACGCCGACTCCTACCTGCACAGAGTGGGTCGTGCTGGTCGTTTCGGTACCAAGGGTCTTGCCATCTCCTTCGTGAGCACCGACCAGGACAAGGAGGTTCTCACAGCTATTGAGAAGCGCTTCGAGGTTGCTCTTCCGTAAGTTTTCGTCTGCCGTTAATACCATGCGCATATGGCTAACGCGTTTCTCAGTGAGTTCCCCAAGGAGGGCATCGACGCCAGCACCTACATGGCTTCTTAAGCAAGTCACCGGACAGTTGGGCCGGACTGGCCTGTCGTTATGTTTTTTCTAAAAGGGTTCTGGTTTCGGGAATTTGCAAATTATGGTTGTCAGTGACGCACAAGAGTGGCCACAAGAAAAGAGATGAAGCTGCTTTCTCCGTGCAGATAAGAAAAGTCCATTGGCCTTTGCTGGCCTTTTGCAATTTGTACAGAGTAGTTATCACGGGAATCAAGACTGGATCGCCAAGTTCATGTTCTCTGCCATATCATTGTGTGAGACGTACTAACACGTTGCTTGATGCCATTAGCTTTGGGGACGATTTACTAGCTACCTTGTTGTAGCAGCACTTTCTCTGGCTCCACATCCCTTGACTTTCAGCGTGCGGTGTTCGCTTAGGTAACTTGTGACGGTGACAGGTAGTCAGTCAGAGCTCCGATGCTCCCGTCTTCGTCGGAGCGTGTCCGGAACATGCTATTGCAAAGTACTTGCCAAAAGGGAGCGTGTAATTCTGCAATGTCTCATTTAGAAAGTGTTGTCCCTGCTGTCCCCGATTTTGAAGGCCGTACGCAGACGACGCGGTCTAGAAAATGCCCATATTGTGAGCAGAGCTTCTCGAAGGCGGAACACTTGGCTCGCCACGAGCGATCACATACAAAAGAGAAACCATTTCAATGCGGGCAGTGTGGTAAATCGTATAGCCGACAGTAAGTCTGTCAAAGTAGGGGCCGAGAAGTAGCCCGGTTTCTCATATCACCTATCAGCTGACGCGCCCTGCAGACACTCTTTGATCAGACATGCTCGGTCACATACTATTGGAAAACGGAAAAGACTTTCGAGAAGCGTACGAAGGACGCCATCATCTCAAACATCTCCTCAAGAGATTGAGACGTTATCAGATCACGACCTCGAAGATGTATTCATCAATGGTGCCCATTCTCAGACGCCTTATGAAGTCGCGGAAGGGGAGGCAGACGAGCTACGCACCAATGTTCAACCAGTGCCGCATCTGTCGACTGCCGTACTGAACGCAGCGGACTTTTCGGCATGCCGTTGTGCTTTTTCAGTTCGGCATCCAGAGAAGATTGTTGTCGCAATGACGCGCGGGTGGAGGCACAGACATCATGGCTCTTCGATGCTCAAGTCATTCGCCATCCCACGACGGGATATTGCCACGACAAACTTCTATATAAGAACATCCTTCCCTTATTCAAAGAGCTTTGAAAGAAGACATCAAGCTTGGCACAGCCATCACTCGCTACATACAGACATCGGAAGTTGCCAATCCCCTTTCTTCAACTTGTTCCTTCAATATGCAGTCTGCTACCGCTCTTCTGGCACTTGTTGCCTCTGTCAATGGTAACGTTATCCGGGGCCGTCAGCTCTCAGGTGCCGCCGCTGTCCCTGCGAATCTCCAGCCGGCCAACTTGACTTCGGGCGGCGACTCTTTATCTACAGACATATCGCCGCTGGAGTCAAACACTGAGCAGTACTATCTCGGCTTCCGAGAGGTTGACTTTGAGAAGCCTTACGCGAAGTAAGCTCCCCCTTATTCCAGCATTCCCTCATTCCACGGTTCGCTCGTATGCTAAGACGTGCAGATACTACAACCCGGTAGTTTCTCCCATCTCGGACGCCCTTGTCAACGGCTTGGCCGGAAGCCCTTGGCCCAGTGCCTTCAGTCAGTTACACTCTCCTCTGACTAATAAGGAATCCCTTTGGGCGGGACGAACTGACCGATGACAGCATACTCTGCCCAAGATGCCGCCAAGTATCTTGAGCAGCCCGGGTATCTGAACTTGGAGAACGGCTACGCCATTGGCAGCAACGGCACTCTCATGATTGCTGTTCGCAGCGAGATCCCTCAAGGTAACCCTCAAGAACGTAACTCCCCTTTTTGTGTCCCGTCTAACACCCCTGAAAGTCACCTACGACCAGTACGACTGGTGGTTCGGCTGGCACTCTGTCGAAACGGCCCGGTACAAACTCTGGAACCCCATCGCCCACCAGTACAGCTACCGCACACCCGACAGCGTGGACTGGGCCAACCGCACCTATGCCCAGCGCTACATTGGTGCCACGTCCTACATTGACGAGTATGTCGGCAACGACGCCGCCAAGCTGAGCATCCAGTTCATCGAGCCCGAGTCGATTGGCTTCAACACATCCGTCTGGCCGGAGCTCGGCATTGAGACCGTGGTTGTTGGAAAGCTGTTCATCGGCGGTAGGTCTTTAACCACTTCGTACACAGCTCTGTCTCGTGGCTTGATCTGACCAAGCTTTCTGTAGACTACTCTCTGGAGGAGTTCGACCAGACTTCGTACTTCATGCACATGGTTCGCCGTATGCCCAACGGCTACCGTGAGCTTCGATCCCGCTTCTTTGTTGCGTCCGATAACCACGGCAACGCTCAGCTGGGACACGACCTTACTGTTCACTGCAACATCGAGATGACCCGTAAGTCGCCCCCTGCGCATTCACATTGACTTTTGCTGACGGTTGACCGCGGCACCAGATCTTGGATCCTTCCTCCCTGCCCTCTTCCAGGACTTCAAGGGTACCAAGTAAGTGCGCGAAATATCACGTATGTGGACACCACGACCGATGGCACCATGATATGTCGTCTTGATGTATTGTCATCGCCTCAAGTAGACGTTGCCATCGTCCAGGATAAGGCACTTATAATTCAATTCCTGTATATATTCAATAATAATAGAACCTCTCTCCTCTTTAAAGTCATCATGCAGTTCGCGTTTTCTCTGTGTTACATATCATGACGAACAGCATGATTTCAACCCCTCCTGTAATAACCAACAAAAGCTACAAATGCTCTCCTCCGTCATCATTTCTTCAGGTCCAACCCCATAGAGTTGAGAAGAATTATCAAGAACTGCATTAGAGCCAATGCAACACTATTAGAGACTCCTAAGGCAGCCTTAGTCTCCTCCTCCGAGTTTTGAAATGGTGCCGGAGTATCTCTGTCAATGGCGTCTTTCTGCTGATAGGGTTCCCTGTACCCATTGCTAGTAATGCGAGTCTTTGATGCACCAATCCTTGATCTCACCCTTGCAGGTTGTTGCAAAAGCGCCATCAGATCTTCAAACTCAGGTTCCTGGGCTTCGATGTATTGAGATCCTGCTGGGAAAATGGTTGAACCTTCCAGGTCATCGGATGACACTGGCGATGATGGTTCTTCCTTGAAGATCACTGGGAGTGTGCCTGTCATTTCTGCCGGGGCTTCTTTCGAGTTCTCCAGTTCCATGTTGTAGTTGAGATACTCGGCGATGTTGTCCAGCCTTTTCGTATAACTCGACACCAATGTTAGATCAACATCCGTGATCATTGGCTTCGAGAGAAACCTGCTGAGATTCATTCTGTTTTTGAGTTTGCCCTCGACCTCCACATGCATGCGGGTTGGCTTTTTGCTATGATGGAAAGCGAATGCCGTATGAAACCTGGGTGGATGAGGAGGTTGGTTGTCCAATTTTGTCTCTTCGAGATGCCACACAAGGGCTGTGAAGCCTCCCCCATCAGAGGAGGCTTTTGGGCTACCGTAAAACTTCCAACAGTCGGTTTTCGTTCCAGATTCCGTCTTTTTCCAGCCAACACCACCCACGCCCGCGAAGCCACCAACGTCAATGCTGGGCATTGCGCTCCGCTCTGTTTCATAAGATTTGATAGATGGCTGGCCAGTAATGAAACGGGGACCATACTTGTCCGTCATTTGGACTTCGAACTTAGTGGCGGGCTGTTCATGATGCCGTTTCCAACGCTTCCCACCCAAATGCTTCTCAGATACCGGGCAGCTCAAGGTAATCGTGACCGTAGCACTTCGGAGCTTGTAACCGGTGGGTTGTAAAATGCTGAGATCGATATACACAATTCCGGCTGGGAACTTGTTTGGGCCTAGGACTCCCCATTGAGCCTTCGTCCAGTGAGAAATACACTCAATTCTGACTTTCCCGATTTTTCCTGTTCCGACGTGGGTATTTTTGTCGGACAGAGGATTCTTTTCATCATCAAATCGATAATAATCAGTTCGGCCGAAGCACGTTCTCCGATTGATTGTCTTTTGGTGGCGTTCGGCGGCTATCATTTCAGTCATCTCGGCCAAAGTCAGGGCTTCTGGGAAAATCACAGAGCCAGATGATTCTCAATGTGTTTTTGGAAAGATGCGCAAGGCTCTCGATCACAAAACCGCCTTTCTCATTCTCCTTCACCCAACGGAAATCCCGCGACCACATTAGCCAATCAGCCAACACTGACTTACCCAGGGTCAATCTGACATGCATATCGCTTGCGCGCTTCAAGGCTGTGCAGCTGAATGTCAATCATCGACCCCCTCATACGTATCCCGACATACCAGGGGGGGTAATAAGACATACCTTCGGACCAACGCACCAAGACCTTTTTATTGAGAGACAGCCGACTTACCAAGGCGGTTCTGGCTGAGAGGTCTCGATTTTCACAAGAAATTTCCAGTTTTCGATACCAACAGCGCTTGCTATGCGGCCATCTGTTTTTTTCCACCGAGTGGAGGTGTTGCACTACAAGTGCATATATGTCTTCTGCATGATTTATTGACCGAGCTGATAGAGCGAGGATACGAGGTGTACCCGTACATTCATTCAGGCATGGTGTATATTGCCTACGAAGGAAGCTTGACCTCCATGCAGGGGGTCTCCCACACCACCTGAGCGAGAAGTCCCCAGCCTGATCTCGGCTAAACGCCAGCCTGATCACCCCCTCAATTCGCCGCGTTGAATACCGCAGCATTGATTGAGATAATGTATTTCCTTGCCTTCCAGCTCGTTGTTTTCAGTCTCTGTACCATTAAGATTTGGTTAGAAAAGGCAGTCTAATTGTTTCAATATGCAGCTGGAGGCGCAGGTTTCAGACGGGCAGGACAACAACGACAACCACAAGAACAAACCAGACGGCAAACCTCACACGGATGAGTCGACTAGACCTTCCCATGGCAAAGAAAAACTTCGGGATTACAGAGATAGTCTCTACTATCTCTATCAGGACGGCGCGGATGTTCGGGAGCTGCCTGTCATGAGACAGGGCAGTCCTCGATTCAACCAATATAAGTCGGTGCCCCATTGGCAGAATGGCTCACCTACTCAGCAGCCCATAACAGTCAACAACGACATTTACCTCCGCTCCTCTGCTACTTCTACTGACACGTACCATTCCAAGGATCGTCATCGTCATCCGTCTAACAGCCAGGAGATTTCTCTTCCAGGTGGAAGGACGATCATCAATAATTCGATCTTTGTTGATATTTCATCGTCTTCTGACTCCGAAGCTGAGGACGCCGGATGGGGGAGCAACAAAAAAGGCGGCGGACAACAACGAGAACAGACGACGAGAGACAACTACAACTCGCAAGACGCCATACGAGTTCTTGTTAATCCACAATCACCGCAGGATGTATCTCTCAGCGCAGACGCTGGAATCACCGATGATTTTGAGGAACCGCTCGAAGAGTATTCGAGATTGTGGCGTCTCGGGCAATTCGAAGCGGCGCGCACACTTTTCGACCAATGCTTGCTGGATCACATTGAGAATCCATATGTTCTGGAGCAGCACGGGCAATGTCTGCTTGAGATGTCAGATTACAACACCCTTGCCCAACTAGCGAAAGAGTTCCCACCCCGGCCAGCCGAAGGCGCTGTGCAGACCAGCTGGTATCTGCTCCTCCGAAGAGCTGAGGTTTCCTGCGAGCTCGACTTCCCCACGGTTTCCAAATCTCAAAGCCCGGATGTTCTTAGCTTGTTACGAAAGCATTGGCCAAAACTAGACTCTACCGAGGCAAGTCGCGAAGCTGAACATGTCAAATTCTATTCTTAACACCATGTAAATAGGTCCAGGTTCTGAAAAACGCCATTTATCTCGACGACAACTCACTTATGTCGATGAGCGCACAAGATCTAAACGGTCTTTACCTCCATCTGAAGGCTGAAGAAAGAATTTGGGAGTTCAGGGACCTCTTCCACGAATGTTTAGCGGCTTACGGTCTCAAAGAAATATTTCGCATGATGTTTGGCGAAAGAGACGAGAAAGGTTCGAGATGGGAGGTAGATATTGTCCAGACAATTTGCGACGACTGGAGCGCTGCTGTAGAGGATGAGGCGGTCTCGTTTGCTTTCCTGGACATATTCACCACAATCGCCCTGGCCTCCATGGCACAACCGGACAACTCGCGGACGGCTTCTAGATACTTCGAGGTCGCTCGGCAATACGCCGCGGACATTGCGGCCCGAGACCCCCAGAATCTGAAGTCTCGGCCCTACCTACGATGGGCTATAGCAAAGGTGCAAATACAACAGTACACGAGTGCCAAGCCCGTGGGACTGGCTGCCCTGCGGAATCGACTTCGTCTGCTGCCGGGAAAGGTACGCATCTCGAGGCGCGTGTTTCCTCATCAGAACATCCCGATGTACGCCCCTGTCGAAGACGAGTCTCCCGAATGGAGACCGAATCCAACTCCAGACACCGAGGAGAACTCGGTTGTCATTCGAATGGTCTTAAAAACCGCTCAGGAGATCGGCGATACTGAGCTTCAAGCAGCTTGTATCCAGGAACTAATCTACATATCATCTGCACCAGAAGAGCTTCTGGATGAACTAAGCAGTCTCTGGAAGAGCGTGGGCAACCTTCGAAGGCACAACCAGACGCACCTCTATCGATATCTCTGTATCCCAGCAAGCCCGCCAGAACCTCGCGAGAAGCTTCGGCAAGACATCCTTCTGTCGGGCGAGTTTTCTTCAGCAGGGTTTTCGCAGTATGCACAGTACATGGTTCTGAGAGCTCTGTCTTCCAGACTGCATGAGAAAAGCGCATACTCAAAACGTGCTCGAAGCCTTCAGCAAGCCCTGGATGAGGACGACAGCAGCATGTCTGCAGCACAAAGTGCCAAGCCAGGCCCACAGGGACGGTACAAGGAGACAGAGTCTTCAGGCCAGCTCCGACATGACAGCGCGCGATCTTACTCGGCCGCTCCCCGCCGGCAGGAATCTAGGCAAATCGCAGGTACAAAAAGCGAGTCTTACTATACTGACCGCAGGATTTCGCGTGAATTCAATAGTAGGTATGATAAAAAAGCGAGTGGTCAGGGAAAAAGCCACAATGCACGTACAGTAGGAGACAAAGGCACTCGGAGCAATAGGGATCCAGCAAATCCGACTTTTGCCGACTTACCCAGACCTCGGAGCGAGATTATCCCAGCCAGCGTCGTCAACTTGGCGCAAGCATCTGACTCCTCGAAGGCGGGTGGTAACGAGACTGTTGGCCGGGATGGTCGTGGAAAGGTTCCGGACAAATTTGAACGGGGAGTTCGGGATATGGTTGAATGGGACGTTCAGGAGGTGGCTGAACAAGACGTTCGGGAGATAGCTGAACGAGACCGTGGAAACAAGGGGATGAATCCGACGGAGAGCAGATTCAGTAGAGTTGATTCACATGACGACAACGAATCTGTAGAGGGCGGGGAGGATCGCGGAAGAACACGCACAGGTGAGTAAATCTTTTCGAAACTGTCACCGTCGCAACTAAATTTCATG